GCGCCCGGCTGTCAGGCGTAAGCCTCTTAAATATATATATATATATATACTTGAAGTAAGAACCCCGATAGCTCTCGCTATCTGGGGAATAATGGTAGATCCATGGCGATCCGAAGACGATCCTAACAGTTAACAGCGGTCCCGAAAGAGCCATCGCGCCGCCACCGTATTCTCTTTGTTCGATTCACCTTTGAAAAGCACACCAATCCAAATAAACGCAGCCAGATGTCTCCGAGAGAATCTGACGAAAGGGAACCACGTCAAGAAGGACGCAGGAAACACCCCACCCAGCAAAGGCAGCTGAGATAGCCACAGAAGGGAGTCAATGATCAAAAGGATTGTGTGCGACAAGCCCAAGACCCATTCAGAGCGCTCCTGGCAAGGCAAAAAACAGTATCGAACTGGTCTGCATGGTGATGCGCAAGCCAGCTGTGGGTTCACAAATAGAATCAGTATATACCGCGTCCTTCTTGCTACAACTTTGGTTGACATCAGCCTGTTTCTGAGGTGATCAGCAGCATCGAAACTTTGATTGATCAAAGCAAAAAATTGTCAACAAAGCCATAGAGTCGAGAAGGGAAAAGGACAAGAGCCCAGGCAAAACAATACTGCAAAGACAACCAACGCCACAAAAAGGCCTGATAAATTTAGAACCACAAAATTTAGAAGAAGAGAAAAAAATCACAGAAAAGAAGATTGTGTCAGACCTCTTCAGCTTCTCTGTCTTGAGTACTTCGTACCGCGAAGTAGCAGCAAGGATCAGGCTCTTGTAGCGACACCTGCAGCCAAGGAAGCTTAGTAGCTAAAGCATGCCTTTCACTTGCGACACAGCCTTAGGGGATCCCCTGAAAATGACTTCGGGTGCCACATCCCGGAATGGGCCACAATCTGACTTGTAAGGCTTTTTGCTCTGCGCAGTAGCTCAAAGAAAACAACAGGTGGATGCTGATCCAACGTCCAACAAAATCGTAGCAGTTTGCAGTAAGAGTGTCTCGATCGAAAGCATGCTTGCAATCCCTCATCCCCTGCGGTCCGGTTCAATCCTCTCCTTTCTCTTCTGTCTTCGAAGTCTCTGCATGGTCCCAATCGGGAGTATAACTAGAGAGAAGTGATAAAAGGTTTTGCAAACAATTTAATGCATGTTGAAAAGGCGTGTTGACATGGTATGCCACTTAGCCAAGTTGAACCCCGCAAGTATATGTGAGCTGCGTATGGCCCAATTTGTTGAGCACCACTTGTCGCAGTTCCACCACTGTTTGCCTTGAAGCTCTTCAGTCTGGCACACTCGCCCGACCTGGTGATGAGTGACCGGTTCTAGATCTTGGTGGGAGCACCAGCTCTGGTCTCTACTTTGGTTCCGCTTCTATAAGTCCTCTCACGAACCGGAGCGCGTTCCTACATATGATGCCAATGATGCAAATCATAATGACCGCATATCGCCGCCGCCATGGCCTATAATGCTTGGATTTACAAGAGGTTGCCACTGACGTGTTGTAATACAAGGGCAGGTATAAGCCATGTATTGAGCCATCTAAGGTCCCAGCTGGAAGCGGCAGTTCCGAATAAGTGAGAAGGGTGACAAGGAGACGGAGGCCTGGTAGCACGACACTGCGAAACTTAGACGGCTGGTGGAAGGCTTTTACATATCCTCAACAATCTGAATTTTCTGAAACCACTTCAGAGATTCACCTGCGAACGACTCCGGTCATTTGACATTTGATGTTGAGGTCTTCAACGTGTGTGGAAGTCCAAAATGAGAGACGCAACTGAGTCAAATGAAGGCTTCAACATCACCAACTGCAAATCAACAGATTCTCAGAATGCATTCTATGGCCTTGACACCAGCCTGGCATTCTTTTACAAACTACCAACAAGACCAAAACAAGGGCCTCATACTGCTGTTTGTTTCTTTAAGTTGTTTTTTCGGCTAATCGCAGTGGTCAGCTGCCGATTCATGAGATTTCTGGACCCTTGAACCTCTCTGCCATCCAGGGTGGAGAAGGCGAAGCCGTTCACATACAAGCTGAAGGTCACCGACTCGAAGCGATCCTCACGAAGAAGTTATCCGTTATCCTATCCAGTCATCTATAACTATGAATAAAAGGCTTGATGGCATCGGCCACCTAGTATCTCTCTTAAGCTAGCTACAGCCAGCCACAGCTACATCTTGGCGACAAAGTGAAGTGACCAGTCAAAGCAAGTGTTGTCTCTTTTTGGCCTTCCGGGATGAGCAAAAACCTCAAAATGTTGTAGCTGCTCGTTCGGCATCGAATGTCTGTCTTGGGTGACATGATTGTTAAGAACGCTGCAGGATGGTCACTCGGCAGTTGGTTGATTTTTGGTAAGTAAATGTGGCCTTCATGAACGACCAAAAAGTTGATTCATGGATGTTCTTGATTGCCATGCCCAGAAGTAGTACTGTAGATGAACTTGGCGCAAACAAACTTCTCGTGACGAAAGGTTGTAGTTTGGACCATACTGTAACTGCAAAGTCATGCAACATTGCACAGTTGTCCTCTAGTATGACTTACCGAAGTGCAGTTCAATGGCTACCTTTCCTGTGCACCAGGTTCAGCTCAAAATTAGTCTTTAACCCTGCCCTGCACTCTGCTTTTCACCGATTCCTGCGTCTCTCTCCATCTGGAGCTGACACAAAAGTCTTTGTAGTTGGAGACTTGCTGAGCTTGCATAAGCTTCTTTGGCGTATGCAGCAAGCCTTCCTCTACAGTGCCAAGCTGTCGCCGTATGCTTGGGAGAAGGCAGTTCTAGCATTTTTAAACTACAGTACCCAAATAACCCAAACCTATGAAATCACATTAACTTCCAACTTGCAAGTTGATAAGTGGTTACGATTGCTTGAACAATTGTAACTATGATTGCGGTAATCATTCACGGGTCTTCTCACAACCCTTTACACAAACCCGTGGACAAGCGAAGAGAGTGAAGAGTGCCTCTAGTCTGCGACAGACTCCTCCAAACCCTTGGCCAAGGGGCGTAGGGCCCCAAAAACTTCGATAGGACATGCGCTCAGAAATCTTGATGAGGATGGGCTGCAGAAGCGTGCTGCTGCGCCTCAAAAGAGTGTCTATTGTGTTCATCCAAACATGTGCAACTTCGATCCACTTCGTATCATGCCCTCAGTTTGACTGTTTACATTTGGGTCGAACTAGCCCGCCCAAATACCATGGTATTTGTGATTCTTTGGTCTTTAAGGCATGGAATCCACAGGTCTCTTCATTCCAGCTCTGGAAAAAGAACCCAACAATAAGTCCGGACCTGCTCATGAAGCAAGTTGGTGATCTGCTGCGCCTGTCAACATTCCAATGCTCGACATGTGCATCAGCTAAACCTGTGACCATTCAGAACATGGTGGTTTTGCGCTCTCTCTCTATATATCTCTCTGTCTTTCCCTCTTTTTATATATGTACACCTATGTATATATAGAGCGCGACAAAAAAACAACAAACATGTTTACGCGACTGGATCAGCTTCATAGGCAAAGCTGCAAGCGAGAATCTTCAACACCAAGAACTTAGCGTGACTGGGCTTGACCTGCTCACCGTCCTTGCTATAGAGCAAAGTGCCACCTGGCCCTGCCTTGGTTCTGAGGAAATTGCTGGCTGAAAGGAATGCAAGCGAGGTATGAGTTCCATAAACTGTTCTTCGAAATTATTGTTAGAGTTTGAGGTCACTCACTAAATCAAACAAGTCCAGACAACAGGTAGAAGGACCAACCACGCATGGTTCCTAATTATTCCGTACACTCCCACCATTTTGATGTTGCAGCAACTAGTCCAAGAATAGGGGTAAAACATGGACATGAATAGGGGAGCCTTGCAACCCTGGTCATGCACCTTGTTGCAAAGACCTGGCATCGCCATCCGCGATCCCTACCCCCTGTGAAGGGTGGGCAGAGTGTTAAAAGGGTCACATCTGAAAATAAGGTTGAAGGCCCACATGGACAGGAACAGAACTTGTTAAGCGAATGCAAAATGATTTGCAACCACATGGGGTTGGTTCATGACTTTTTGCAAACTCACAGTTTCAAACCTGTAGTGTGCTATTGAGTTCCCCAACTGCTACCGCCAGACTGACTCAACAAAAACAAGGAGAGTCATTCACTGAGATGATTGGGCATTGTAGCCAACAACGCCGCATTACCTTTAATAGACCATAACAAAAGATACGTAGTAGTTATACTGTAGTTCAACGGGCGTTGATCAAAGATATACTGTAGTTCAGCTGAGCAGCTTCATTTATGTAACAAATGCAGCCTTCAAGGAGTTTTTCCCCACCTGTCAGGTGAGAGCTGTTAGTTTTTAGTGTGAGCTTCTCCGCGTTCTCCTCCGCGTCCTCCTCGCCTCCTCTACCGCCAGCCAGTGTTACCGGCCGGGCCTCAACCGCCAGCTGCCGACGGCAGTGTTACCTGCCGGACCTCAACTGTCAGCCCCCGCGGACCTCAACCGCCAGCCCCCGACGGCAGTGTCACCCGCTGGACCTCAACCGCGAGTCAGAAGATATGCCAGATAGAACGTCATAAGATATGCCAGAAAAATGTCAGAAGATATGCCAAAAAGAATGTCAGAAAGAGTGTCAAAAGATATGCCAGAAAGAATGTCAGAAGATATGCAGAAGATATGCCAGATAGAATGTCAGAAGATATGCCAGAAAGAAGTGCCACAAGATATGCAAGAAAGATTGTCAGAAGAATTCAGAAGATATGCCAGAAATAATGTCTGAAAGAATGTCAGAAGATATGCCAAAGAGTATGTCAGAAATAGTGTCGAAAAGCATGTCTTCTGTAAATTTCAGAAGATATGCCAGAAAGAATGTCAGAAGATGCGCCAGAAAGACTGTCAGAAGATATGCTAGAAAGAATGTGAGAAAGAGTGCCAAAAGATATGCCAGAAAGAATATCGGAAGATATGCCAGAAAGAATGCCAAAACAATGTTTCAATGCATGACGAACAATTTGTCAGATTGACATGTCATGGTAGGGATCACTCGAAGTGAAGTATTTAATGTGTGTGTGGGTTCCTGCAGTTCTTTGCCTATGTTTGATCACCGCACCAGCAGTGAGCTCCTGTGAAGAAGGTATTTTATACTTCACATATGATTTGTGCTGTTGCTTTCCTCAAGACAACCTAAAACCATGGATACAATGTAGCATGCAAGGAACCAGGATGAACTTATTTTAACATGTAGGTAAGACGCTCACACTGGTCGGATGAACTGGTTTTGCATGTGAGTCCAGTCTATAGTTCAATCGAGGCATGGGTGGCTATTACAAAGACGTCGTTTCTACGGCTATAGGCTATACCCTGTTCATGCATAGGGTATCGGTTTACAAAGGTCCTTGAAGATTGAAACAACGCCGAAAGCAGTTGAACAGCTCCAGCTCAGATCACAAATCAGTGAGTTTAAGCTTAAGATACCTTTTAAATAATTATTCCATTTGGGCTCAGCGATGCTCGGGCCTAGGATCCTTATCTACAAAGATTCGTGAGGTCTGTGACGCGATTGCAGCTGTTGCTAGGATTGCATGGTTTCGTGAGGGATAGATCGCTGAGATTTGCAGGTTTGTCAAGTCCAAGATGATGCTGCTTCTTGATTGCATTTACAGCTGTAGGATTTAATCATTTGCTCTACCACGGATTGGACAGTTTTGCCAGTATTTCTGCTACTGGCTTCAGCTGAGACTGGCCAAGTGCAGCAAAACACGGTCCCTTACCATCCAACAAACAGCCAAAAGAACAAATGCCAATAGAGATCAAAGAATCCAGAAAGACACAGGACTTGAGGCTACAGCAACTGACAGAAGGATTGTACTTGGTCAGGGACTATAGAATCCTTGACTCATTCTAGGAATCTCCAGGAATAACATCCAGCGATCTGAGCACATGACAAGGAGATGAACACGATGTGGACCGATCATATAGTCCGCGTGACCTCAGTGACACTTGACATGCCTGTGAAGGCTTTTCTACAAACTCCAGGGTTTGCGATGATGTGTGTATATTGTTCGATCTACTCTCTCAGCCCTTTTACTCCCTTTGGCAGTTCAGCTCCAAGCAACAACGTACAACCCACAGAAGCCAGCATTGGGCGACAATCCTTTCCGCATCCGTCTATCAACTTATCGCCTTCATGTCAATTCGTAGTGACCGCAGATTGGCCAAGCAAGTGCGTGTTTCCTCGCTGCTTGGGCTTGACTCGGTGGCAGTGTCTTCATCCGCAATGAAGAACGGACGCATTCCCTCTGCGCCAGCTTGTGTATGCCGGCACAAAAGCCGCGATTGAGCCAGGCTGGCTTAAACCTGTCTTCTTCTGGTCCTGGATCAAGGATGTCTTGTTGGATTTCGAGCTCTTCCAGTCAATAGCCTCAGAGGGTGTTGGCTGGGATCCATACTTGGAACAGGAATCATTACAAGCCCTCGAACATTACTTCTGAAGCCACAAACTGGAAAGCCATGGAAAGCCCCTCTCCCCCAAGATCACGACAAGGAGCCCACAGCAGATGGAATAAAATCTTCTCGAAGAGTCTCATCTGCAAATTGGATGGCTGAACCGGATTGATGGAGTGCCTCAGAACATCAGCCATAGAACGTAGTGCATAGTTAGTGACAAGAGACAAAAGAGACAAGGAATCAAGGGAGGTGCTTGAGATCAAGGAATCAAGGCCACTCATCTAGGAGTGGTGGACAGAAGCAAAGCAATTTCAGAAGAATGCATGACGGTCATAGTCATGATGTAATGACTCATGATGAGGGAACCCAAAGGAACGCATCACCAAAGAAGCCGGTGCTGATTGATTACAATCAATCTCCTGTTCGGCTTTTGCTTTGGATAAGCAGTTCAAGCTGGTGCATCTTGCAGTGAAGGTCCAACATGTATTTTTTCTTCTAGCACTTTTATTTGCAACAAACCATTGCGTTCCTATTGCAGGGTTTCTGATTCCTCACGACAGACTACACCTGCAAAACCTCAGTGGATGTTCAAGATTCAAGATGCAACCAACATGATCTCACGGTCAGCTCGCAAGTCATCTGAAGCAAACTGCAAGGCCATGCAATCCTGACACCGAGGTTACCGAGGTTATGGACACGTACTTTATAGTCTATAACATGTCGCAAACCAACGGATAGCTGTCCATCAACTTGTATGAACTTTAAAGGAGAAGCGTACATCACTTGTGAGAACAGTTTTATTATGTTTTATTGATTATGCTGAAACAGGATTTTTTGTCGATCAAGCCAGCACAGTGCGACAGCACCTTCAGGAGTTGCATCAACATGTCTAATTTGATGAATGATGCAGCGACAACCCATACAATTGCATCTGTCTCCAATCCAGGACTGCCGCCGAGATAGAATACATACAGTACGAGGTTGTAAGTTGCAAACCACTGTGTCCTACCTGGAATGTCAGAGTGAATGGGATAAACATGGATAAACCATGACCCATTCCGCTGGCCTGCGCCACAGCAGCCATGACAATCTCATGATCACACCTTCACTCAAAACGTTACCGTTTGGCCAGGGTAGTGCAACTCAATGTTGTGATGCAATGCAAACCCGGCTCCGTGGGTATAAAACAACATTACTGTTAAAATCTTAAGAACGTAGGGAGGATTCTCGAAGAAATCATCAATTTGGCGAACAAGCAAGCCTTGTCATAGCTAGTCTAGAGAAACCAACTGCCGGAGAAAATTTCAAGCCTTTAACGAGCAGTTCTCCATGGGCAAATGAGTCCATGAGGCTGATTTTCCGAACTTTAGGCACACAAATGAATATGATCGTCGGAGGTGTCTCATGTCGTGCACAAAAACCAAGCAAAACTATAGGTTGGTCGATACTATCTGCTGAAACAAACCATATCAATCCATATCAATCCTTTGTAGGGCTACCAGGTATCACAAACTTCTGGCAGAAAAAACCGACCTGCTTTGCATCTGTCACCAGCCTGACAGCCCTGGACCGCTCACCTGTATTTTTGGTCGATCTCCCCCAGCTGCCGCCAATCTCGTTGCACAGCGGCCAAGGCCAGGTGCCTTGACATGAAGACTCCTGCAAGCAACTTCGCGTTGCGCATTTAGTATTCAGGCTCAAAAAATTGGAGCGGAACATTATTGTAGTCATCATGGTGCTTGGAAGACTATACCAATTATACATTATATATGCTTTGCAAGTTTGTTTGTTTGCTTGCTTGCTTGCTGGCTTGACTTGACTTGGCTTAGCTTGGTTGCTTGCTTGTTTGTTATTCCCCACGTTGACGTGTCGGGTTGTTGTTTTTGGTGTCGGATCCGCTCCTCCTCCTCGTCCTCCTTCCTCCTCCTCCCTCCTCCACCAACAATTGGACCAAAAAGCTGCCACCAACCAATTGCCACCAACAAGTTGCCACCAACCAATTGCCACCAACAAGTTGCCACCAACCAGCCACCAACAAGTTGCCACCAACCAATTGCCACCAACAAGCAGCCACCAACCAATTGCCACCAACCAATGGCCACCAAGAAACTGCCACCAACCAATTATCACCAACCAATTGCCACCAAGCCAATTGCCACCAAGAAATGGCCACCAACAGACTGCCACCAACCAATTGCCACCAACCAATTGCCAACAACCAACTGCCACCAACAAACTGCCACCAACCAATTGCCACCAACCAATTTCCACCAACAATCTGCCACCAACCAATTGCCACCAACAAACTAACCACCGACCCCATCAGCGCTCCCTCACTCTCTTCCTTCAGCCTCTAACCCCTCTTTTCTCCCTGCGCTTCTGCTTTTGTAGAGGTTGTCCGTGGTAAAGTTGTTAACATGTGGGGTTATCCGGTCCTATAGTTTGTTTGTTGGAGGTGCGTAGTGTAGTGGAGATTGTTAGCTATGTTAGCTGTATGGGTAGTAAGAACAACTTTCAAGCAGGCAGTAGGGCTCAGGTTTTCAAGGAAGCTTATCCCGCCTGAGGCCAGTGTACGAAACGTTGACTATGCACGACTATGTGACTATGCAAGTTGTGCTCTCTGACAAGCTATGCGGTAATATTGTATAGATACACATATTGCAAAGGTCATTGAGCCGGCAGTGCAGGTCTGCTCCTGAATTTGAGACCTCCACCACTGGAGGGCAGCGAACCAAAGAAAGGTCATGGTACGGCAAGTGATCCGCCTGGCAAGCAGCAAGCAACCTAGAATCAGGCCAACATAGTATTGTTGGCAGATCATTGGAATATACTTTACATATTTGTACAATAGTCTCTGGCTTCTTCTTGGGGATGCTAAATTAGGCGTGTCATGGTGTCATGCGCTGCCTCATGATATCCTTGCGAGAAAAAAGGACAGCGAGGAAAGGACGTCTTGCAAAATGCCACGTACACATGAAATACCGTACCTGTTACTTACCTCACTTACCTCCCAACAAACTCCCAGGGTCGGGCTTGAGTTGCGTCTGAGTCTAAGCCATACACACTCTTTGGATGCTTTGGCCTACAGAGCCTTACATTGCCTGAGCCAACTGTCTATCGGAGCCACTCATCTTGGATCTGTCACAAAATATTTGCTCAATCCTACGCAAGCAAACCTGCAAGGTACAGTACTGCTCCTAGCCTTCTCAAGAAAACACCTGTTTCCTGTTCCCACTCTCGTCTAGTTTCCATGTTGTAGTTCATCACGAAGACTTTGCTGCTAATTAATTCTAAGCCACGATTCAAACATAGCACACTTGCATTGTGCTGCCCCTAACCCTCACGTCACGTGAGCAAACGTTGGACATGAAGAGTGCCAAGGAAGCCCGCGCCCTTGCATCCCATGGAATATAGTGAGGGGACTCACCAATTGAATTGTGGCACTGTAGAATTGTATAGATCAAGATTACATCTCAGTATCAAGATACCTATGTAATGTCTGCAAGTCATCTCTTGCCAGAAACATCAGAAACACATGTGCAGTACAGTAAAGTCCATTGTTGCATCAACAGCTTTGCCCAGCTTGGCTGTAACGTGCTGTGATCGCACACCTCGACTACACAATCTTTCTTTGTATGTTCGATCGCAGCATATCTCGCTGGAAAACATGAATTCGGATAAATCGTGTATATATATATATGTACATATACACAAAATTAAAAAAAACAACAATGTGTTTTGTTGTCATGGTAAGAAGCTGTCCTGATGCAATGATCAAGCCTGAAGCACTCCCTGGAACTTCCCCACCTTCAAAGGTAGAACTTCTTGCAGCAGTTGCTGATCCTCCAGCAGGCTCATCCTTAGGCACAACACCTGACTAAATGGGAGAGCGACAGGAGGCACATACAGGCCCACAAAACAAACACTCACCGTGCTTGTCTCTTCACTATTGAACGCCAAATTGCTTGTAAATCAGCCGCTGCTCAGAGGGCAAGATTCCACATCTGGCATTGATTACCGCCTGGAAGAATCTGGACACCGTTGCCAAGCCACCCACAAACCCACTACCGCATAAACAGGAGGAACCATGTGCAACCGGAACCCCAACGACAATATCAACTTACTCGTCATGCAAGCAGGATGAAATGTAAGAGAATAAAAGTAGTCCTTAGTGAATCACTTGTAGCAATTGGAACACGCACCTAATTTAGGCTTCTGAGGTGCAATCATCCCAACATGCTTCTCTGGTCTTACCTCCTGGTTCCGTTCCTCCCTATGACTTGCAGCAATAAAAAACTAAACCTCCTTCCCCAACTGCATAATCGACGAAAAACACTGCAAACTGAATTGAATGAGAATCTCGTGCGCTGCACTCCTGGAACCTCGCCTTCACATCCCGCACACGCCACGTTGCTTCAGCAAGCACCTCGCAAAGCTGCTGCCCCAGGCTGGCCACACGCAGAACCAGTTGGGCCCTTGGCACCGTTGGCACCACACAAATAGCATCGTGAGTTCATCACTCTGTCCGGCAACCTGGTAGTATCTTTTCAGAATGGTGAATGAGTCCTGAGATTTCATACATATAAGTGCTACACGCTGTGCTACACATATGATGAGCTGTCGATCCCAAGACTTCTGCAGAATCCTGTCAGGGAGATGGACATCGCCACGTTGGCACTTCGTGATTTTGAGGCGGTATGTTCCAAGCTACTAGTAACAAGTGCCACGCTAGTAGTAACAGGTGCCTTACTAGTAGTAACAAGTGCCACGCTAGTAGGAACAAGTGCCTTACTACTAGTAACAATAACAATTTGAGACGGGTAATGGATCTGGAATTGAAGATGGCTCAAAGGATCTGGCTACCACAACTGACTTGCGCTTGCAACGTCTTCTTGCAAATCACAAATAACAAGCACAAACATCGCTTGGCGTTTTGTCTCTAAACGAAATAAACATGTACCAGAGCTAGCCCAAGCATGCCCAAGCCTCTTTTCATACGCAAGTTGCACAACATTATGCCTAGAGGCGATGCCCTCTGTGATGAATTGAATGCCGTTTGCAAGGCCCTGCCCCATGCTGCCACACTCTCCTCCTCAGCATCGAAACGGCTTAGCCAAAGAAATGCCCTTACCGCCTACACATACTAGCCTCTCGTGCTTCCAGCTCGTGTTGTACAAAGACTTGCAAAAAGCCCTGGGACATGGCTGAGCTGCTGACAGACCCTTGAAGCCTGATGACCCGAGCTCCATGTCGTAGCTTTAGACCTGCAAACTTTTCCTCTTTGACCGTGCATGTCATATACATGTAAGATCATGAAAACATGTACATTGCGACATTACAGATCTGGTTCTACATCATGGGTGCCATGGTTCTGGGTGGTGCATTAGCATTCGATTCTGACTCCTCAAATTCTGTGGACACACTCAAGAAGCACTCAGACGGCCCCGAACCTTAAGTTTCCCAAAAAAATTTAGGAACCAAATCATTAGTGCGACCGCTTCTTCAAGGAAGCTTCCCCTGCCGCCCGACAGGACGTTTCCTTGAAGAAGCGCGAGCTATCCTGCGTCCTGTCGGTAGTAGCGTCCACTTGCAGCTAGTAGCTACCTCCTCTAGCTACTACCTCTACTATCAATCGCGGCCTACCCCCCCCTTGCCCTATCTTGCCGTTGCACCTGCAGGACCTGTCTCCAATGAGCTGCTGGGAATCAACGGGAAGCGGGCCAAGGGCTTCTTGCCAGCCAGGCGGTCCCCGGCAGAGGTGTAGTACTCGAATGCATCTTTGCTGAGAATGCAGTGCCTCAAATTGCCAACTGGTGGTCTACCAAGAGGTTCAAATGTGAACACCCTTGGATCATTCCATGAATCGCAACGAGCCACTTCCAGATTAAGTTCGCTGGAACCATCAAACAATTCGTTATTGAAGGTATATCTGCGGGACACCATTTTGTGACAGGCACGACTATCTGACATGCATGCTCCTAGCGGCCGCACTTCTGGGCCAGCTTGACGAAGCACCGTGAGTTGGCCTTGATGAAGGACTGTCCTGGCCCACGAGGATGCACCAAAAGCATTTGTTTGTTCATTTGGATTATGTAGATCCCTGAAGGTGCAAATCCTAGCAGGTCATCCTTAGCGTTAGCGACACTCCAGATCCATGAAAAAGGATTTCAAAACGTGCCAAGAACAAATTGGCTTTGCCAGACTGCCTCAAAGCCTCCACGACGCACAAGACTGTGATGCTCCATTTAGGGCCCGTCTATATAGACTATAAATATCTATATATAAACAAAATAAAATAAATTGCCACTGGCCTACAGTAGGACCCAAGAAGTGAGAATTTCTTCTGGAGGTCGCAACCTTATAGAATCTCCAGGATGTGTAACTTCATGTAACTTCTAGCAATACAGCACTGTGATGTATTGTGTATCGCCCCGTACCCCATGTTTAGCAGCAACAGCTTTGAGCTATGGGCAGGCTACACCACCTAGCATGAAACCTGTGGCTCACGCGCAACATTGAAGAGGGGCTCGAGGGGCTATGTGGACCAGTTGTGTGGTCTGTGGGCAGCGGCACCCATGTTTGTGCACCCTGACCTGGGCAGTGTAGGAACAGTTCGTTGCCGGCGATCACCACTGCCCCTAATCTCCATTAGCATTTCAGTAGAAGGCTTTGGTGTTGCATCACACCGTGATTTGCTGCTTCCCTAGGCAGCTGACAGCGCCGGAAGGCTGGAGGCTTATATACAGACCTGACATGATCTTACTTAAGAGCTAAGACACATTTGGAACCAATGTATATACTAGTCTCCTGCATTAATTTTCTGAAGGCTACAAAGCCAGTGACACTTGCACACCCCCTGATTATGCAACCGCACCTTGACACTTGAGCCAAAGACTGGAAAGCAAGCAACGAGCACAAGGCAACAGGCAAAGTACACAGTTCCTCTTTAAAAAAAACCTGCGGATTCGATGTACGTCTATGTAGTGTGGACCTTCCAAAGACAAAAATTCCAGAATTCCAACCAGATTTTGAGGAACTGGACTCTGTCTTGTCTTAGTAGTAACAAGTGCCTTACTAGTAGTAACAGGTGCCTTACTAGTAGTAACAAGAAGCCGACTCGGGGTTTCTTAACTTCAGGGCCCAGGCCCAAGCGACACACCAACCCTGGGGCCGCTGTTCCGCTGCGCAGCACTGCATGAAGCGCCCTGAGAGAGAGGTCCCAAAGCTCTAATAGCTTTTAATTCAATTCTAATAGCTTTTTGTTACTACTAGTAAGGCACTTGTTACTACTAGCGAGGCACTTATTACTAGAAGCAAGAAGGGTCTGGGCCCAATGGATCTTCCCCAACTGGTCTCAAGTGTCGGTAGGTTTGCCCATCTGACATGATATGACATGATCACATATTGCCACTGTATGCCGCAAAACTTGCTTCATGATCTGATTCGCATGGCAAACCCGTTCTAAGCGATATACATATAACATAACTCACATAATTTCGAGTTGTTGTTTTCGATTGACGAGCAAGGCTTCTCTTGAAGTAAATCAATCGATCAGGTTTCATTACAGGTTCATTCATTTTCCCGAACCCAAGAGATTGCTCTATTTTTATCGGAAACATGTGTATTTTTCGGCTGCAACCATGCATGTTTCATGGGGTCTGGCTACGTCAGGGCAATCGTCTCCTTCCAATCCGGCCAACTCTTTAACCATCCGGCTCTGCTGCCGGGCACATCGATGGAATCAGAGTGGACCTGGTATTCGCGAGAATTTAGTCCAAAGCGGTGGCACGCTGGAGAACAAACACTGTATGACTGTATGTTATCACCTTTCACTATCAAAAACACCGTAGCATCTATCTACACCTGACAAACAAATGTAGCTAGTAACAAGTGCCACGCTAGTAGTAACAAGTGCCTTACTAGTAGTAACAAAAAGCTATTAGTAACAAGTGCCACGCTGGTAGAAAACTTGTCTGTGTGCATAAACTAATGTCCACGCTTCGGACCGAGCACCGTTCGACGTCTGCCACTACAACCAAACATGCCCACTTGGAGACTAGGAGACTGTGGGTCAGGATCAGGAACATCAAAACATCTTGCATCGGTTCTTCCAGCAAATAAGGCCGAGGGCCTTATACAACATATATATATATAATTATATATACAGTGGATTGAACCAGGCAAAGGGCGGGCCTCTGCACTGTAGACGTGTTGCTTCCGGACTCGCAGCGCCTGGGGGTTTGAAATCACTCAAGCAGAATCCACACGCAACCACCAGGACCACCAGGACCCAGCATCCCAAACCTCACATCAACGTTTTCTAGGAGCAAGGACGCTACTAGGGGCTCGTGGCCGTACTACTAGGAGCAAGGACGCTACTAGGTTCAGATCTGAACAAACGCTTTGTCTGTTCTCATTCACAGAACCCTGAAGGAATCTCGCGACCTTTCTTCAGCATTAGCTGGGGGCCCCACTGCATCCAGCTCTGGGATCATCGCCAGAATTGACTGGACTTCTTCTTTGGCTGCTCGTGTCTGTCAATGAATGCAAGCCCTTGCTCATGGCTAACAAAACCAAGTGCTTTGGGACATGTCGGGTAATTACTGCTCGAGGAAACACAAAGAATTGGATGTAGTTGCCAAAGTACAAGCGGACAACTTTTTCACTTGACAATACTTGAAGTTCTTGTCAAAATCTGTAATCCCAGATGGACTGTCGGATTCCAACCTTTCGTTGCAACATGGGGGCCTCCATGGGCCTCCCATTTGTTTCCTCATCAAACAAGGAAGACGACGTTCAGAAGGTGGGCTTCCCACAGTTTTTTCAAGCGACGTGGCCGAAACTCAGCTTTCTGGCCATTGAGTTCTTTTGTCCGTCTCTCACAGCGGCCAAATGCTTATACAAGAGTGAGCGCACTTCGTTTGAATGTACTTTGCAAAGGTCAAATTGAGCAGCATTTGCAACAGCTGCAAAATAGTGAAAGCAACTCAAATCTCCATAAAATGTCCGGCCTCTTCCGAGACGTGAGGCTTCAAGACCTGAACAGGAGGTGCTTCTCAACATTGCGGTTTTGCACAACATCACCCAGAGTATCGGTGATTGTCACAGTACACTCTTACTCACTCCTGAACGACTCAAAATGCTGCTTCACCATGATTTAAAAAAATAGAAAAACTGAATCCTGACGCCATGGATAGTTTGGGGTCCGAGGTCATCTGTCTTGGAGTCTTGGAGTTTATTTATCCTAGTAGTAATAATGCTCCTAGTAGTACGGCCAGGAGCCCCTAGTAGCGTCTTTGCTCCTAGTAGTAAGGCCAGGAGCCCAAGTATCAAGACCCTTTGTGGCGGTTGGAGCAAGCAAACCTGCCCCAGTCCCGACTTTTCAAGGGATGCAACATTCAACTGAGGTCTCTTGCTGCCAAGTGATCAGCTGTCATGAAGCCTTCCAAACGGAGAGTGCCACTGTTGTGGATACAGCAGAAGAGTGTGAGGTGTACAAGCACAAGACAGAAGAGCGTCTTCAGGATAATGAGATGGCTACTCACATCTAGATTCACAATCATTCAGAAACTATAAACTATGCATTATTGGTACTTCTCTGCAATTATCATGGTTTGTGCCGTTTGGAAGTTTCTGGAATCCGAGCTTTTGACCCCAGCCTTTCTGTTCCTTGGCCACTGCCTGGCGCAGTTCGTCTAGATGCCCCCGCAGCAGGGCCTCTGTTGGCGTCACGGGCATGCAATCTACGACCTTGTCATACAATGTATTCATACGTCGTGTTGATTGTCCGTTTTCGTTTACATGACCCATGTTTCCAGAATGGTGGAGCCCGGAGTTCTTGTCTTCCGTGATTAGTCACAGTCACTTTGCACAAGGAATGTCCATGTCATTGTGATCACTTTGCACATGGCTACTATTCAGAGCAAACCCACGACTATATATTCGGAACAAAGAATAATAATCAACCTTTCCCACTGATCATTCTGCGGAAGGAATTTTGACTGCAAGGGATTCCACTTGAGGGCTCATGCAAGGTCCAGTGCAGCCGCGGCTATCCAATCCTAAACATATGCGCACTACATCTCACAACTATAAGAAGCTTCATCTATAGCAGCGCTCCTGGCTCTTTGCAATTGGCAACCTCTCAAGCACGCTTCTCCAAAACTGAACAGCTTGAGCTGGGAACCCCTGCCCCTTCATGCACAGCTTGCTTGTCATGCTGCTCCATCTGACCCTGTCTGCTAGCAGTTTGTATCCGATGTGAGCTGCCAAAGAAGAACAAAAGATAGCTTCAAATCCCTTACATAATAACTGCTCAAAAAATTAGACATCTAGATACATGTATATAGAGAATGCATAAGAATGCATGATTTGTCAAGCTCGAATTGCTTGTATGTATTTGTACATTACAATTCCGACTGGTCGCGAGATGATGTTAATTCGTGATTCCACACATTCCTACCAATCCTATATAATATAGTTGCTTCTTGTTGCTCGCTTAGACCCGGTCACGCTTCAGAAATTTCAGTCGCTGAAATGGCGACCTGCTTCTCTCGTAACTCCTTCTCGAAGAGTTGGACTCGATGATGGAGCGAAGCTTCTTCCTTAGTGTTACCGTAACCAACAATTTCACCCTTGCAATGGGACAAACGCCCTGCAAGTTGCCAAGTAGAGTGGATGGTCTACTGATCTACTGCTGTTTTGGCGATCATACCAATCATGCTCCATCTTCTGATGGATGCAAAAGTGCGACAAAAACAATTGAGGCTTTTGCTGCCTCCAAACGACGTGCTTCAGCAGCAGCCTGACGATGTAACCACCACATCAGCCAATAAGCTTCTCTATTGAAACATTTCATATTGACACTTTCTTAGAGAACTGAGCTCATCAAAGCAGGGCGCATTTCACCTACTGTAAGCATTCTCTTTCGACCTAAATGCATGTCACACCTCAAAACACAGCGAACCTTGTGGGAAGCTTTGTCTGGCAACTCCAGCCTGCTCGGCTCGATGCTGAAGGGTGGCGTGCTCCTTTCGCGCAGTCACGGGAACTCATCACGACTCCGGAGAGTCATCTCATTGAGCATGCCAAATGTGATGTCAACATAATGGAATGTCCTGCCGCTTGGTTTCCAGGAGTTTGGTGGTTTCTTGCAGCCTCTTCGCTTCCTGACCAAAATCCCAGCTCCAAAAACTGATCAAATCTTCTATACAATATATATTGTATTATACTATACTATATATATATATTACTATATATTTCAAAATCAGGCTTCCTCTCCGCAAATGCATGAAGGGCAGCAAGAACCAACATCCGACAGCCCGATTTCTCATCACATCACTGCTCAGTTGACAAACCTTCTCACTCCTCCCGATTCAAAACCATCTAATTATATATATAATCCTCTGTGGAATAACCGGTGGGGGTTGAGAACCCCATTTTATAGTGATGAATGACTGAACCAGGCTCTGGGAACACAATGCCCCACTATAGAATCTAGCTTTCAACCCTTGTAGTGTACAGCATAGTTTCTCTATAGAATAAAGGGAGTCAACCTTTAAGGCACTAATGTAACAGAATTGTAGGCTCCAAATATGAATTGTCCAATTTATCCAATAGAAACAGCCAGGGGTGGTCCTCATTCTATAGACAAGTGGGTGTAACATCAAGGCTGACATATTATTTTAGAGGAAAGTTACGCAGCAATGGCAAAAGAGGTTGGCATTGTATTGTATAGAAATATGATTGAACATTGCAAGGTTGAAATTCATTTTATAAAAAAAGAATATTGGACAGAAAATGACACTCCAAAAACAAGATATGTCTATAGAGGTTGATATTCATTTTATAAGGACAGGGTTGGACACTCACAGGTTGATTTTTTATTTCAGAAAGGTGGGCTGAATTTTGAACAAAAAATCATTTTATAGTGGGCAAATATTCACCGGTTATTCCACAGGAAATGTGGGAATGCATGCACCAGATTGCACAAGAATGCGCCTGATATTTCGTGAAATCAGAATCAGAATCCAACCTACCTCACTGTAAAACATCCATCCACTCTAAAGTAAACAAAGGAAGAAGCAGCGGTGTATCTCCCTTTGGGAACCTCCGCTACGCTTCCGAAAATCACTCAACGAACCTCGCGCGTCGGTACGGACAGACGCGCCTTTTCTCCTTGAGCCAAAATTTGGTTCATAGTCGGAAGCTGACAGTACGACACTGTTCGAAGGGAAACAGGAGTAAACTGTGCAATGACTCCTGGTTTTTCTTTTCCCCCCTCAGTGGAGTAATGTCCTGTACGCAAGCGAAAAAGTTGTGCACTTACTTTCAAGCTTAGGCTTCGACAAGATGAGAATGGCTCTCCTGCTACTTTAAATTCCATGCAGCCACAAGAGGAGAATGAGTTTGGCCCTGTGTCTAGTGGGTGCGTGGCCGCTTCTCACTACTCAAGTGTATCCCGCATTTCTTCAAGATGGGTGTCTTGGACAGCCAAGTTGGACTTTATTCCTGATGAGTTGCGAACGCCCTCTAAGCAATTACGAACTCAACATGCAACTGACCTACAAACAGGAGCAGCCAAAATGGCTTTTCATACAATGAACTGATCACTGCGTGCTCACTGTGAAGGTTATTCTTTGGAAACGTTGGTTTCAATTTCACTTATTGGCCGCCTTGAAGTTCTGCAATGCCAACTACCAACACTACAAATATAACTGCTTAGCGTACCGACGAACTGGAGGCGCGCAAGCGCAGCACTCCGGCATTGCTATTGCATGCTGGAAACAAGTTAAAGCAAAGGCTCTCCTATGCCTACCATGTCTAAAGCTCGGCGAAACTTCACTGCGTCCAAACACTTGGTAAACAAGTCTGCTGCCTGTTGTTCTGTTGAGCAATATTCGAGAGTCACGTCTTTCGATCTGAACACGTCAAAGAGACTAGTCAGGTCTATTTTGTGTGTTTTGGAAACGTGTCTCAAACGGGAACTATACCCGTTCCGGATCACTTGAATGGTCGCGGTGTTGTCCTGCTGGCACCTTAGTGTGACCACTCTTCCAAAAATTCTCTCTATTTGCTCTTGGAGCGGTAGGGCCTCAGTGAACAGTGAATACGCGAGGCTTATAGTCTCGGCCTCCGTTGTGCTCCGACTTGCAGCTCCTTGTTTCTTTGCACACCATGTGATGGGGACGAATGTCCCTTTGCCCATTGCAGCGACAAAACCACCTGACGTCGAATACCCATGCTCTACTTTGCCCCCATGATCACTATCAGTAAAGCAAAATATTTCGATATCATCACCTTTTCCGGTGACTTGATTTCGCATTCTATAGTGCTTTGTTGAATCAATGTAGCAAAGCAAACGGTGGAGTCTTCGATCGTCGTTTGAACACCAGGTTGTGATTTTGCGAGCTAGCACGGTGATGGGGTGAATTAGGTCAGCTCTGCAAAGCCTACCTAGCCAAAGGCATTTCATCAGAATCTTTGCAGCTACGGGTTGAACTGAACTCTTAACATCCCAACCGTCCATTGGCAAAGTCGAATCGTCCAAAAATGGTGTTGCAACTGATTTTAATTTGCAAGGACAAAGCTCTAGATACGAAGCTACACAAGACTGGGCAAATTCTTTCATGTCATACTCAACAACCGTCTTGTTTCCCTCCCTTTTGACAATGTGCTTCCTGCCTAAGACTTTGTCGATTGGAGAAGGCTCTTCGATGTCTAGCTTTGACTGCAAAACTTTCCAGAATCCTGAGTGTTCCTTTGTGGGTCCACTTAACAGAATATCATCCACGTATAGAGTGACGAGTAGTTTGCTACTTTCAATCCAAAAGTTTGAGGGAAAGGATGCTGACTCGCGTCCTCCAAGCTCTTGGATTATTCCAGCAAACTTCTTATGCCAATGCCCCCCTGACTCTGGATGGCCGTAGAGGCTCTTGTAAAGCCTTGTGCATGGTGCGGCCAGGTGTTTGAATTTGTCTGGGACAAGCTCAGCGGGCAATTGGACGTAGGTGGGAAACCGGGAACCCAAGTCCGATTGGACGTAAGCTTTCACTACGTCACTTTGTGTGGTTGAATTTCCTTCGAGGCATCCGTAGAGGACGTTGGAGTTCACTCCAGAGATCGCGGTCGGAGTGACTTTGATGTCTTGGAATATTGCGTGTTGTCCTAACTCGTCTCTCACGGCGTCTCCGCGGAATACTATTCTGGCTTTCAGTTTTCTCAACTTAGGATCTTCAGCATGTTTCCAGCTCAAGAGTGTCATAAGATGCCCTATGTGGATTTTCTCTCCTTTCTGCAAGGCCATTCTCTCCAGCTCCTTCCTTGGAATGACTTCATCGTAATTCCAAGTTCCTGCAGCAATCAAACCGTTTGCTTCCTTTTGAATTTCAACGTGTGCATTTGGGATGGAAGCCCATTGCTTCCTATCGATTGCTTCGCGAATGAAGTGTGGAACTTCGCTCTCATGAAAGCTTTCTTTTGTTTGATCGTTCGGTTGGTGTTGCTGGACCTGAATTGACTCGCAAGGCATTGCTGGCACATTATTGTACACTTTGTCTGGGAATAGCTGAGCTACAATGCATTCACTAAAAGCCATCGGATAAAAACCAGAAGGCTCGGTGTACTTTCCGGCGACTTGAACATGTGAATGCTTCGATCCATGCGGACATTTCTTTTCTTCCAACGCTGCGGCTAAGGATGGCGACATTGTTGCGATCTGCCATGGTTTGAAATGCTCAGAACCAAAAGCACAAGCATTACATTTCACAAGCGTGAACAGTGGATGGCTAAGAAATTTCTGAAGTTCTGGCAATTCCCAACCTGAACACGATGCTGGCCACTCAAAGTGGACCCTTCCACCCCTCCTTACCACGATTTCTGCCGCTTGGAAGAAGGTCCTTTGCAAAACTTTGGACTCTTCTCTTTTGGCAAGCAATTTGGCTCGGAAGTGAGGGCCTAGTCTGCTCAAATTTACTGTCTGCCAACGACTCCATGCAGTGCAGGGTAACGAACCCCACAAATCGCAACCATCCAGGAAACCTGACTCCAAACCTTCAAGCAACTGCGAGACTTGGCATGGGTCTTGCATGTTTCCTACCCTTTTGGTTAGTCTGATATGTTTCAATCCTGTGGCTTGCGAAATCTTTCCCATGGTAGAGTTTTCTTCGCAACAAAATTCAATGAGTGTTCCATACCCTGGCAACGACTTCTGCTGCTTCTCTCGATACCTGGCATGGGGAACCACTGAACCTGCGCCCTTGAACATGAAATATGTCTTGCCTGTCCAAGTTCCCGAAAATGGTTTCGAGTTTGGGGAAGACAAACTGTCTTTTACTGTCTTTTCGCGGTTGGTGGAATCTGAGATGGCGATTGTGATTCTTGACCCGGTCAACCATTCTACAGGAATTGGAATCGATGTTGGATTGAACAAATCACTTCTACTTGAAAAGTGATGCCTTACCAAAACTCCCTTTCTGTAATCTACTTCCCAAGAGTCTGAACTTGGTTCGGCCTTCGCGGTTGCCGCTGGCACCTCTTTAGGAAAGAAAACGGTCTTTCCGGTCCAAAAATCTTTCCACTCACCTGTGTCAGTCCAGTCATCGTGCTCAACTGGTTCAAGCTTTGTTCCATCCTCCTTTGTTGCGAAAGTGATCCTTTTTGCAAAACTGCTAAGCTTGGCTGGAGGATCTTTGTCGCATTTTAGTGGATTGAACAGCTTTTTCCTTCTCACGAAGTGGTACCTGACAAGTGTGCCATCTTCTTCAAGCCTCCATTGGTCAAAGCCCTTCGGCATATCGCTAGGGAATGAATGCATGGACTCCTTAATCAAGGTATCAAACCTTTCCCTGCAATAACTGTTGTGACGATCACCCCCTTCTTCACAGGCCTTGCAGCCTGACGTGGGTCCGAACTTCATGAACCTCTCGAGAGTGATGCTTCTCTTCTTTTCATCTTTCGGAATTGAAGGAAGGTCTATTTTCATTACAGGGCCTTCGATGTCTGGCAGTTCCTCTAGCGGACCTACGTCTTCTAACTGCACTTCGTCTGCTATCGACTCCCAAGCCTTTTCTCTAGCTTCTTTCAACGGAAAGACCCACGGCTTCACTGGTACAACCTTTGTTGTAGTAGTAACCTTAAAAGGGGCCTTGCCTCCAATGAAAGCGTTGAG